AGGGAGGGAGGGAGGGAGGGAGGGAGGGAGAGTAGCCCCCGAGCCACCGCCACCCCCGTCGCGCGGCACCCGTGGATGGGAGAGGGTTGTTTCTGCACGGCGACAAGACGGCCAACGGATCACGTACCGCTGAGGTGGCTCTGACCTCTGACCCGCCACCCGCACCCGCCCGACCTCCAAGGCGAGGACATCATTGCCGCCATTACCTAGAGATCTGAACAGGGGTCGGGCAGACGAAATAAAAAACATGAGGGGAGGGAAAAGGAGAAAGAGAGAGAGAGAGAGAGAGAGATCAAAACCGCCGGCGCCACGGCACTGCCCACCGCCCCGCCCCCGTCCGACCAGCTTCTCGGTGTTAAAGCAGCCGGCTCTTCACAGGCGGCCGGAACCATCTGTCATTTTCTTTCCTCCTCAACTATTTTTTCTCCTTTCCTTTCTCACCGCTTCATCCAGGCGGCGGTGTGCGCGCTGGCCGCCCACGCTGTTCCGCCGCGTCCAACAACCCACCCTCTCGCTCCACGGCGCGAACGGCCCGAGCGGAGAGAGAAATAGCGGAAAGGATGGAGCTGGAGGAGGCCTCTCTCTCGCTCTCTCTAGCGCAGTTAAGCCCTTGCGTTCTCTCTACAGCTGCAGACGGCAGACCCGCTCCTCTGCGGAGATGTCGGGAAATTCGTCGTTGTCGTCTGCTCGGCTAATCCGTCCGCCCTCGGGACCCTGCGGCCTGGGGCAGGTCAGTTCCCACCCCTCCGCTCCCCCTCCCCTCCCCTCTGCCCGGCCGGGCCCGGCGCTCGGCGGCCGGCGGTCGGGATCCGTTCCCACACTGGACGTCCCTGGGAAGACAAAACCCCGGAGAGGAGGCACCCTCGGCAGTCAGTAGGACAGTGACCTTCGGCGAGGGCGGAGCGGAGCAGACGACAGAGCCCAGCTCAGACCACAAGAAAGTGCCCAGCGGTTCGCGGTTCGCGTTGAGACCCGCATCACGTCGCAGTGCAGTGACGACATGGTCGTGCCTTACCTCGGAGCTGCAGCGATGCGCCACCAACAGATGCAGCAGCCCCCGGAGACAGCTGTCGCAGCTGCCCAGACAGCCCCTCCGAGTCCCAGCAGTCAGCAGGTGCAGTTCATCAGGTTGCTGCAGCAGGCAGAGCGGCGCCACCGGGAAACTCTGCAGCGCGCCGTGAACGCCGAGAACCAGGTCCATCAACTGCGCCAAGTGTTCCAGCAGTGGCAGCTCCAGCTGCACGACCAGCTCCTGCAGAGGCACAATCAGGTTCAGAGCCAGCTGCACAGTGTCAAAGCCGATGCGCAACAGCAGTCCCACCAGGTGCAGAACCAGCTGCAACTCATACAACAGCAGCATGTGCACCAGCAAGTGCAGCTGCAGCGCCAGGTGCAGAAGCAGATGCAGGCCTTGCACGAGGCCATGGGTCGTCAGCAGAGGGCGCAGGAGCAAGAGAACCAGCGCGTCCGCGAGCAGCTGAAGGACATGTATACCTTCCAGCAGCTGCAGTCGTTCTCCCACGAGCAGCACCTGGGCCAGCTGCAGGGCCAGATGTTCAACCTGGAGCGCGGCCACCGCGCCGAGCGGCGCAACAGGCAGATCTTGCAGCGGCAGATGCAACAGACGCGCAGGTGGCAGGAGCAGGCGCCACCGCCCGCCTCGCAGCCAGCTGCACCCGCCCACCCCTGCCCCGATGACGACTGCTGCCCCTGCGAGTTCCCAGAGCACTGCCCTTTTAATCGTGAGTATTTAATATTTTCTGTCCATCCGATAAGGTGAGGTCAGTGGCGCGGGCAAGTTTGAACCGGCTCCGCTTTCCCTCCACCGCCTCCACGCGGGGTAGCGCCGGCGGCCTGCCGACACGCCACGCTCAAGCTCGCGGGCATGGAGTGTCTACGACCTGGCTACCCGGGCCCTAAAAGTTGTGCTCACTAGAAAAATATCTGCATGCCCAAAATCAACTTACTGGTCCCAATAATTCCAAAATATACCCCGCTACAAGGAAATAAATTAAATTAAACTGGACTGACCATAATATACTAATGGGTTTCAATTTGTTAACAGCTTGTTTCCCTGAGGACTGCAACGGGGAAGTGCCTGAAGGACCAGATGTAGGAGAATGTCTTCTCAGAAATATACGGTTGGGCCTTGTTGATTCCACGTGCTCTCAGTGCAACTCGGGGTGTTTGGGTTCGTCACCTAAGGAGCAGAGGAGACAGAAGCGACCTGAAGAGGTAAGTATTGCATCTTAGTTTGAACCTTATTTTTATGACCTTCAGTGTGAAAGAATTTTACCTAACAAGTTTACTTTGTATTATTGTTTACAGAGTGAGGATGGTTACTTGGCTGATGATGAAGCAAGCTTCTACTCTGTTGTTTCTTCAGGACAAAGCAGCTCTTTTAAGGAAGAGCGAAGACAAATTCTGCAGGAAGTCAGAAATCTAGAGAACACTCGCATGGCTCCCCGATACAAGCAAGTTTGGAAGCCTCTACGTTGTTTCCGGTGTGGAGAGTTAGGCCATCTTGCAACATTTTGTGAAAACATGCCTACCACTGTCCTATAATAATTTTTATTGTAAAATACTAATTTTAATTGTTAGACTTTTGTTAGATATTTGATAATTTACGCTTCAACATCATTCCTTTGCAAAGGCCCTGAATCTTGTTTGAAATTGTTTGATCTTGTTATATTTCTCTGACATGTAATTTTTTAAGTACGGTGAATTATTTTTAATTTGGTCTTTACCCACTATAAGTTTGGGTAGTTTGAATGTTGAATAAAAAGCCATCATTGGTTTCAATTGTTTGAGTAAAAATTTTGTTTTTTAAATAAAATCTTGACGCGAAATGTTGGTCTTAATCAATGCCCTACATCACAAATAAGAAATTGACACCAAACTAGATTTAGCCAAAAGTAGGAGTCTTGTATGATTGGCTGAGATCGAACAGTACTAAAAAGTACTGTACTATATACATATTATTGGAAAATAATTTCAGCTTGGATTTCTTAAAAATGTAAAACTTAGAAAGAGCTGTTTAGTGGTGGTAGTTCCTCTTCTATTATTTAAGTTAAAGACTATCAATTCCTTGCCAAATTTAAAACTTTTCCTATTGTTCAACATAAAGTACCCCAGGACACGATGCTGATGCTCAAGAAAAAATTTAACCAAATGTTGCAGGTGTATCAAGTTCGGACGAAATTAGTTCAGACTTGCCTAGGTCTCCTTGTAAGAGTAAGAGACGTATCAAATTCAGGTTAAAAATAAAAATGTAACATGAGTGGACAATTAAATGAGCAATCAGAAAATATGTGCATAACTCAGCCAAAAATGATTGCATTGAACTAGTACAGCATCCTACTTCCTGGGAATTTTGCTTTAGGAAAGAAGATGTTGAGCCAGTTAAGAATGATTTCGGTGTCTACACTAACTATAAATGTACCAACTTTCCTGGCACCGAACCGTCATTTGTTGGATACGTTCTAGTTGTGAACCAGCCTATCGAGACCTCCAATTCTACTTTAACATTTCCAACTGAAGACAAAGATGCCAATCTAAACCCCACATAACTTTTCATGCCCCCAAAAGCAGAAATGGAAGAGTGTGCTGCAACTCTGTATCCCTAAATTTCTAAAACCCCAGCAACAGCTTGATATGAATGAGAGTTGGCCAAAAAGACGACAAAAGATTAATTTTTTTGTTACATTTATTATAAATGTAGAACTTAATTATAACTTATTTCTTCTGGGCAGCCTTGAATGCTGCAGCAGCCTTTCTCTTCTCAAACATCTTAAGCTGAGCCTTGGGCTTCAGGTTGTGCTTCTTGGCGAACCTCTGGTTGCGCAAGAATTTGGCATCGACCTGAAACACAAAAAGATACCCCTTAGCATTAATAATGCTCAATTTGGACATATGAATATAAATTTATCAATTGCAAAATATCTTTCTAAGAAGTATCTTTTTGCAACATAGCAGGGTTTAGACAGGGTATGATTGTCATTTGTTGGATATTTTCGAGAGGAATATCGGGGCCTCTGATTGGCTGATTTCCAACTAGAATGTATACAACAAATGACAATTGAAGCCAGTCTGAATCCTGGTATCGAAAATTTTAAAACAATTTAATACTTACACCAAGGGTAGATTCGTGCCTGTTGTTGGTGGGCTTCTTGATGCCATTTCTATGGGCCTTGCGGTCTGCAATGAATAAAAATGCAATCAGTACAGGATAGCAATTAAAAACAAAATATATTGATGCTACTGGTTAACATGTCCATGCCTTCAGTAAGACTAATCAAACCATCATAGAAATCAAGGTAGGACAAGAGTCATCATTGGCAATAGACAGTACACTGACAATTTAAAAAGCATACCCGACCTCAGAAAGACTAATCAAACCATCATGGACATCAAGATAGGACAAAAGTCATCACAGGCAAACAGAACTATGCTTTTGACAGTTTGAAAATGGAGCAAGCAGCCTCAGAAAGACTAATCAAACAATCAGAGTCATCAAGACAAGACAAAATTCATCATAGGAAAACTGCTCTGCAAAAGCTAGGCTGCGCACAAATTCAAAACAGCCCCATGAAGACAACAATAACAGTTACAATTGAAGTGCAACTAAGGCCCAACTCTTAAATCAGAAAATCCTCGGATGTCGAGGAAATATGGGATATAGGTAACTGATACATCACACACAGAGTATGCAAGTATGATAAACAACATTCGTACCATAACCTAGTTATGGGAGTTAGGTTGAGTTCAACCAAATAAAAACTAGGAGGCGATTAAGTAAAAATTTCCACTTGGTGATAAAGAGAGATTTCAGGGGAGGAGAGCGGCCGTATTTTAATGGAAGTTGTAGTAGCCAACCAGCTCTTCGTGGCAAGAATCGAGCCGATAAACGAAAATGTACTCACTCTGGTTGTGGTTGGTGTGGTTCTTTGACTTGGCCATGGCGAAGTTTAGAGATCCTGCAACAAATAATAAACATTTAGTCTCAAACAGGAATAACGACAAAAATAACTTAACACTAGGGATAGCGACAGGTTATGTTTTCGGCGAAGCGGGAGCCATGAGTGGACACAGTCTTGGCATTAGACCCGGCATTAACACATACAACCGCAGAAACACGAGAGTTTCCAAATTTGAGACAAGAAAGGTATGAAATATCGATCAAAAGGAAACTCTTCACAAAATCTTACAATTTAAACGTCGATGGATTCAAATTAAAGGCGAGCCCTAACAATACTCACACTGATCGTCAACTAAAACAACCGGAAAAGGATCCGAAACCGGATAAGAGTCACATTTATTTTTTCGTAAAGCTTCTTGCCAACTGCTGAAAGAAACACAAAATACATTCAATTTAACACCACAGCTTCAAAATCTCCACCGTTTTCTGATTTTATGATTTTTAAAAATCTGAACAAGTATTTAAAGTTGACAATCAATGCAGAATCGCCTCAACCAGCTTCTAGCCCTCACTTTTGTCGAGTTGCCATGCCTGCGGGCTCGTCGCAACCTCCAAGCCAATCAGGTTCGAGTGAGAGGTGGCGCGAAAATTCAAACTCCACGGCTGTTTGCTGTCGACTCGTGCGCGGAAGAGCCCCCACCCCTTCTCCCCCACCCACCCTTGGTAACCCCTGGCAGTGCGAGAGAGAGGAAAGACATTTCGTGTCTGAAGTCATTCCAGCCCCATCCGTGGGTGAAAGCGCCGCCGAAACACAGCGCCCATCGATCAGCCGAGTGCGTTCGGAATAACCTGCCGTCCGCGCGATCATTCGCTCCACCGGCTTCTGCACTCGAACGCAGCCCTCGATCTACAAAGGCCGTGACATTCGGTCATCGGGGGTTTTCGAATTCCGTTTGAAGCACTGCGAGGCCCGCGTGTTTCTCAGGCGAATCGCTTCTTTGTTTTCTGGGTCAAAGACACCGTCTGTTAGCACGTGGCATTGGAGGTTCCGGCTTCAAATAGCAGCATTTTTCTTTCAACATAAAACCAAATCCTTGGTCCGATTAAAGTCAGATGCAGTATCAGCATCAGCTGTTATCAGGTGCTCTCATGTTATTGTTTAAAGTGCCCTGTCTTTTAGAGACTGGAAAATGTTGCCCAACTCGGCGCCGCACTCGTGTGCTGAAGACACAATAGGGGTGGATTGGCCATCCAAAGTTTATGTCATCGACCGAACGTTTGGCGCGGTTTTTCGCTCGGGCGCCTCCCTATCCTCGCGCCTGCACCTCCACCATTCTAATGACAGCCTTTATCTCTGCGAGGTCGTAAATAGACGAGGGCGGCGGAGCGATGCGCCCCCGGGCCGAAGGCACGCCGAAGGCCCCGGCGGACAGAGACACGCGAACCTTCGTGCACTTGGTGTGCTGCAGGGGGTGAGACCGAGCGGCCCCCGCCCCGAGGATGCTCCGCTGTTCTCTGCTCCCACTGACCCACAGGCCCGCAGTGATGACGGCTGTCAAACTTTCCGATTTTAGTTTCTCACTTTGATGTTTCTCGCTGCTTGTCTGGGCTGGCACAAATTACAGCTCAGGAGGTGAGGCAGTCGTGGGTCGCAGAGGTCGAGCAGCCCTCCCTCGCCTCGGCACGGCAAAAGTGAGCAGGAAACGCTCCCCTCCCCCCTCTTCGACCGCTCTGCTCTGCCCGTTCGAATGTAGTGTAAGAATTTTCCCCGTAGAAAGTAAGTACGTCATCGGGGCATCGATCACCGAGGCAAACGCCAGCCGAGTGTTTGACGGGAAACTGACAAACTCTCCCCCCCCCCCAACAATCAATCCTTTCGTACGTGGGCGCAGCGCGCAGCAGGAACATGAGATAAGCGAGTATTTCATTCGGAAGGAATATGTGGAAAAACACTATAGATAAAAAAAGGGGTAATTTCTTCTGTTTTGGAAAAATTTTTGCTGTATTTTTCTTGTTGTCTATCTGTTTGTTTACGAGATAAAATTATGTGTTGCCCGTACCAATCACCCAGCCCGAGAGCCTGTTCAACTCGACGCCGATTAGACGTATAAGCCTAATAGTAGGCGATGACGTTTATTTTTGGAACATTGAGACGTCCCTAGGTAAGACGTGTACTTGGTACGAAAATAGACCCCAACCTCTAGAGGACATCAAGTAGAAGTCGGAGTACTATTTATAAGAACCCTCCTCCACCTTTTCAAATAACACAGGCGATAATTGTTTATTGACGTTTCCATCGAACAAAAAGTAAACTTCGCTGATAGTTGGTTATCGACTGGCCGCCGATGACACGTGCAGCAGCGCGCTGCAGGGGAAAGTAAACGAACGGCGGACAGGTCATGTTCATTGCCAAGGGCGCGGCGCCGGGCAGCGCGTCCCGGGCCACGACTCAGTTCGATCGGCGTGTCGTGTCGTGACGTCCGCATGATGGCCACTCTGCCAAAACAAATTGAAGCAAACACACGACCATAATCAGTTCTGGCTGACGGAGGGGGGAGGGGGTGCACTACTGTCGGTTGCCTACGTACAGGGAATTCCCAGCGCAAATTGCCTACCTTTCAGGTGGCTCACTAGAGGCCAGGTCCGCCCTCCGGCTGGGGGTCCACGAGACTATACTGCGGACAGAGACTAAAAAACCTGCGACTGGACCTGAGACGGACATGAGACTGGACATGAGACCGGAAATGTCCAGTCTCATGGTCCAGTCGCAGATTTTTTAGTCTGTGTCCAGTATAGTCTCATGTGTACCCCCAGCCCGCCCTCCGCGGCCAACCATAATCCGCGCCTGCAAACCACAGTCTTAATATTGGCCGCGCAGTGTACCCTGCTGTCGCGCACTGCTGACGCGCGCCACTGCTTTGGCAGGCCTCGCTAATGGTCACGGCCAAGGGACGCCTCCGGAGCAGCGGCGGCGCGGGGAGGAGAGAGAATAACCTGACCGAGCTCCGCGCCATCAGTGGAAGGGGAATGGAGAGTGCTTCTCGGAAGCGGCCCCCTTATTACATGTCCATTATCGGACGCTCTCGCTGTGTGTGTGTGTGTGTGTATGTGTGTATGTGTGTGAGGGGGGGGGGGCTGTTGGTCACATCCCCCGGAGCCGCTCATCGCGCGTCGCCATAAGGTCACAAACGCAATGGTCGCTCTCTCTATCTCTGAGCACGCGGCGGCGTGGCCTATACTACTGTACTGGCCAAAGTCACATAACCGGCGTATTGATTCACTGGAGAGGTGCGGCACACGCCTTTCATTTTCAAGGTCACCGCGATAGAGGCGCGGCGCGGCGGGGTCGTCGCGTGAGCGGCGCGGGAGAGAGAGAGAGCGAGAGAGCGAAAGGGTGGAACCTCGCTGTGTGAAAGTGTGAGCGGGATGGAAAGTGCTTGACCGCAGTGAAATTAAACAATCGTTAAAAAAGAGAGTGACAGCAGCGCACTGAGAGTTGGTTGAGGCCAGGGTTGTTTGTTGTCGGTTGTTGTTGTTGTTTGAGTGGCACGCCTGGGCTGGGCGGAGGGAATAAAAGTGGTCGTGGTTTCAGATCCTTTTGTATCGCGGAAAACAAAATGTCTTCGCTCTTTGCTTGTCCTCCTACTTTTATTACTTTCTCGATTACTTTCAGTGATGACTTTGCGAATTACGAGTTCGAAGAAATATTGTTACTTTATTCTTTCACCCTTGCAATCCGCTCCGATTTTTCAATCTCTTGGCGCCCAATTTCCGGCGTCTGGCTTCCGGCCTCCCTGTAGTGCCGCCGCCCGCCCCCCGCTCCGTCTCTGTCGCTCCCCTGCGCTGCTCCCATTCCCTTTTAGTGCGACAGAGACGAGCTGCCCGCCGCCGTGAGAGCGAGAGAGACGAGCTGACCGCCGCCGTGAGTGGGAGAGAGACAGAACAGAGGCCTCGCTGGGCCCGTGAGTGCGGGGGAGAGCGGCTCATTTGCATTTTCATGTTGGGGGTGAACGGCCTGCGGTGCAGCAGCAGCAGTCGTCGAGCCGACCAGGCCGGTGTGAAGCAGACGGCACGGTAAAAAGTATGATTTTTAAAAAGTAAATAAGGGCGTGTGCTGTGACTGAAGAAACCCAAACAAGGATTGATCGGACTGACACTCAAGCCCCATAGCCAATCCGAGAGGGGTTCCAGTCGAGTGGAAGGGTGAAGGGTCAAGGACTCGAGGGACACCGACTGCGAACAGAAGCGTCGCACCTCGGGCTCGAGCGTGGGAGAGGTCAAGTGGAGAGCGTGTGGTTATTGTGACTCAGGCCTGTGACCAGCTCAACCCTCCACAAAGGCTGACGACGGCGTTCGACGGGCCCCACTCCGACTGCGCCGCCGTCGACTCCACGCGGGTGGACTGCCCCGCTCACCCCCACGGCTCGCCATACCTCCACCAGCTAAACCGCGGAGTTCAACGTCCTCCCCGGGAGGTGGGGCCACCGCACCGCCGCAACGCCGGCAGCCGATGGGGTAGCAAGGG